TGGAGGCCGAGAGGGCAATGCGAGCCAAGGTAAATGAAGTCCTTTGACATCTTCCCGAGTCAAAGGACCCAGTGCCAACCACACATCCAACCAAGAGTAAAAACTCATGCCCAGGAAGCCAACTGGGTGGGCGGGCATCAAGACCAGTTGTCTCTTGAGCACCTAGTACGTGCCAGGCACTGTGCTATAGAGCCATGTGTAGGATGACATGAAATACAAAGGTGCTATGTGTGGTCCAGAGGCTGGTTCTGCCTGGGACATTTGAAGCAGGAAACATTTGACTGCAAAGATTAGATTCACCAGGCTGATGCAGGAGGAATGTATAAGCAAAGGGAATAAAATCGCACCTGTTTTCACAGGTACAAAGATGTAGAAGGAAGAAGCATGTGTTAAGGAGAACAAAAAGGATGGAGGCTTGGGGTGGGAATCCTGCAAAGGGGCTGAGGCTAGGATCAAAAGGCGCCTAAACTCTAAGTTCAGCCAAACTGGCTGGAAGTGGGATGGGTCCTAATGCCCACTCAGGGTGGGGAGGATGAACATGTGGGAGGACAGGCAGGGTGCAGGGCCCCCCAAGAGCAGAACCCAGGCTCTCACACATGATTGCACTCTTTGCTTGGGGAGAGGAGCTCTGGGTGGATCTCAGAAGCACCACTGACTCTCACCCTAGGTGGAGAAACAACGTAGTGACCTGTCCCGGGACCTTGAAGACCTCAGCGACAGGCTGGAGGAGGCTGGTGGAGCCACAACTGCTCAGGTATCCATATCTGGGGGCCTAGGAACCCCAGCCCTACCTGCTTGCCTACAGGGAGTAAAAGCACTGGACTCTGAGCCGGGGGATAAAAAATCAGTTCTTGCTGAATTTCTTGGACTAACTTGAGAAGAAACCAATTAATTGATAACAAAGGGCAAGCATGAGAGCCCCTGGTTCCATCTACTTGTGGTGGTATTTATGGAAGCAGGATATGGACTGGATGCAGAGAGCAGATGTTTTTAATACAGTGCATTTATCAAGAAAGTACAGTTATACTGAGGTCAACAGACCAGGAGACCACACACCATTGTGCTTCACCATCACTGGAGGATTGAGCACACGCTCCCTGTTATTCTAGACTCTGAGTCCACTTCCTCACCAGCCTAGCCAAGTCCTCTGTAAGGGAGGGTGCATGCTCAGAACTGGTGCCTAGCTGTGCCCAGCCATGTTTCAACCTGGTAGGAAACAAAAATCATCTTAGATGCTTGATTGACCTGGCATGGATGAAGGGATACTTCTACCACTGTAGGGAAAGGTTAAGAGAACAATAGGGTGCTGAGGTCCCAACACTAGCAACAGCGGCCCTTTTCTTCTCCAAAGAGATGGCAAGAAGCAGGGTTATGGGACCCTTGGAAGCTGGACCCAGGGAGGAAGGGCTGTCTGGTGGGGGGGTAGATGCTGAGGGGTCTGGGTAGAGAATGAACGCAGAAGTTGGGTAGATGAGGAATAACCAGCACCCAGGAACACTAGTCAAGATCAGAGCTCCTCCAACTCTGAGGCACGTGGATCACTGGAATCTCATTCAAATGTAGATTCTCGTTCCATAGATTCTAGTTCCCATTTCCCACGAGTTCCTAGGCAATTCTGATGCCCCTGGCTATGGTCTGCACTTGGAGTGGGGAAAGCTCTAGAAGTTACACAGAGGTGAAGGGGAGAAACAGTCAAGTTCAGTCTTTGTTAGTCTCCTAGGGCTGCTGTGACAAAGGATTACAACTGGTTGG